ACGGAGTCCGTTGGGACACCACGGGGGTCGGGGGAACATCAAACGGGGAAGCCAAAATCCCAAATTGGGGTCCAAACCAGCGGGTAGCCGGTGGGTGAGGGTTCACCCGCCGGCTGCCCGCCGGCTGCCCGCTGCTGGCGTTGCCCAAGAAGGCCGCGGGTAGGTGGCGGGTCTCCTACCCCCACCTACCCCCCACTGACTCTTTTTCACCAAAAACGTCCCGGGAACCTTTGTGGAACCCGAAACCATGCTTAGACACTTTCAAACGCAATTGATAACAAATGTAGACAATTAACGGATCAAAGATCGGGAAACATATGGCACATAACCTATCATGCTTTTCTAAACATAATCAACACCCAATCATGCGAATTCCAACCCAATATACCAAGAATAATTCCATACGATACAACCTAGGGTTCTAATCATTTTTAAATCAACAAGGACACAATTCATCTTCTAATATCAAGATTCGGTAAGAATATCGTATAAACATCAAGAACATCCTACAATCATCAAGAACATCATATAATCATCAAGAACGTCATATAATCATCAAGAACACCATAATTATCAAGAACCTTCCATCATCAAGATCAACCATGGAATTATCCCATCAATCATCAACAATAATATCACAAATCATCAATACACAATAATATGGGGAAATCCTACGGGGGAAATCATAGCTATGAAAATAGGTTTTGTTGAGACATGGATTACCTCTTAGCCTTAATTAATTCCTTGGCTATGAAGGGCCTTTCTTTAATCTTTCTTGCTTTCTTGATTTCTTCTAAGGGAATTCTTGGAGCTCTTTGGGGTGGTGCGTCGTTTATTGTGGTGGGGGGTTTCTAGGTGCCTCTTTAGTCCCCTATTTATATATTTAGGAGTCCTGGTTAGGAACTAATATTATAGGCTTGCTAATTCTATTCCTTGTGGAACTAAGGATTGGGTTTGGGGATAAGGGCCCATGGACTATGGTGGGCCTTTCCTAATTAATTATTGTCATTTAATTCCTTCTTTTGGGTAATTTGTTAAATGTTTAATTGGTTTTAGGGATCGTAACACGGGGTGTTACATAATCAAAGCTGATAATTTAGATAAGGACACGATAGATTGAATCAAAAGTGACTTTTATAAAGACCAAAAAACACTTACAAAGTAATGTCACTGAAACTGTCGAAAAGAAACTTTTACATTTCTAAAAGTTTCGCCTTTTGTGACTGAGCTTCTTCTCTTTCTTTGTCATCTCTCTCTTTCTGTTTCTTGAGCATCCTTTTCATGTCGATGTCTCGGTTGATATGCTATCTGTATTTTTGGATTGGGCTTTCTCTGACAATATCTTCATATTCTCCTTTGATGTTGCTGCTCACGTAATTGTTGTATGATTTGAGGATGTTTTCTCCTTCAATTATCCCGAGATTCCACCATGTAATAAGTTCAAATGAGTGCATTCCTTCGGTGTAGCACTATATTTGACTCCAGGTTCAGCATTTTTCTTAACTTTCGTGACATCCCTTATCTCTTCTTTGATTCTTTCTCTTTCGGCCAATTCCTTTTCTCTTACAAGTCTCGCTTCTTCTTGTTTGTTCCAAAGTTCACGATTTGCTTTCTTGATCTCTTCATTTCTTTGAGTCTGATGAACTTGCCTGAAGTAATTATCTCTCTTCTTCATCCACACAGGTATGTTGTACCCTTCAAACCGTTTTCCACTTCCTTCTTCATATGGTTGGTATGTGTGAAAATTTCCTACGGCATCCATGGTTACAGTATCCTTGCGCATCAGCCTTTGATGAAGATTCTTTTTCTCTCTACTCGTTTTCCCGGAAAATGAGAACTCAGCTGTGGATCCGAAGGATTGGCGAGGCCTGATGGAATGCTGTCTGGGTCTAGGAGAGTGTTGTTGACAAGATCTAGATTTTGAAGGTGATGATATCGTATTTCTTCTTTCTTCGTGTCTGGGTGAGCTTCTTCTCTCTTCTTGTCTTGTTGGTCCTTCATTGCTTCTTCTGGAGGGGGATTTGTTTTTGTCTTCGTCCTTGTCATCATCCTTTCTGTCATTTCCCCCCTTTTTGGCATCATCACACGGGGTGTCAGAAAATCTGGTCAGACTTTGGACTGCAATAAGAACATCCTTGACGTACTCAAGCATAGTGAGTTGATATTCAGCCATTTGAAACATGTTGTCATGCCCGAGATCTATCTTTGTACAAGCAAGATCCACTCGTTCTTTGAGACCGAAGTGAGCATGTTTAAGAGCATGTTGTTTCTTAGCAATTTTGTCAAGGATAGCTCGTTGTTGACTGAGTTCGTGTGTAAGCCTATCTTAAGTATCTGGAATTGAGGTGCTGGGTTGTGGACGAGACATTGTTTGCATCATGTGGTTGACTTTGGCAGATAAATCTGCTATGGTCCGGCTATCTTTTTCTCTGTGATGCAGATATTGCTTATGAATGAGTTCAACATTAAAGAGTGTATTCAACATTCGGTGCATGATGTGCTCAGGACTAAGGTAGTCCATTCCAGGCTCTTGGTCAGGCGCATGAGGTGATGCTTCCCGATTTTCATCACGTGGTGATGCATCCATGTTATCATCACGAGCTGTATTTGCAAGAGGAGGTAGCATGGCGAGAGGTAACTCACGAGTTAGGCCTTCTTTTGGTGGGGATGAGCTAGGGGCAGGTGATTGTTCAGGTATATCTTCAGTGTTGCCTATGATAGGAGATTCACTATCATAGTCCGAATCGCCATCATCATTATCATCGTTATTTGAATCATCATCACCAATATTATTGTTATCAGCTTTTCCTTCATCATCATCATCATCATCTCCTCCATCGTCATGAGAGTCATCCTGCTCATCACCTGATTTTTCATCTTCATCCTCATCTTCATCATCTTCTTCATTTTCAGGATTTTCATCAGTGCCTTTGTATGAATCAGAGTTCGCTTTTCTGCTCTCGTTTTTAGATGTTCCTTTGTCTTCATGTTCAATCTCCTTTCCTTCGTCATCTTTTAGTCCAATGACATTGCATGCTGGATCGTTCTGATGAGTTCGTTCTAACTCTGTCTTGACTTTTGAGAGAAGGAGAGCGTATCGAAATTCTTTCATTTCTTCCACGAAGGCTGGATCAAATGGCGGCTTGTTTAGCTCAATGCAAATGGGCGCTTTTTCTTTCCCGAGAGTGCGATGGGTCACTTTGTTGGAGTACACACGTTTGATGGTTTCAAGACGCAACGCTTCATAAACGTCTTTGGTGCCGATCCACTCTAGAGCAAACTCTTCTTCATCCTTCATCTCTTCAAATATTTCAAGAAAGGTTTGTAATGGAGAAGTTCACCATTTTTGCCATTGCATGACCCTGTTGAAGTCGTTCTCAATGGATTCTCGAAGCAGTTGATCTTTTGATGGGGGAATTGGGACAGCTTCGGGTACAAATACAATCGCTTGAGAGGTCTCGGGTATGACCGATTCTTGTAAGACTTCAGGTTCGGGTAGAGCTTCTTTCAGATTGGATTCAATTGGAGGAGTCACTTGCCCCCTGTCTGGGTCTAGGAGAGTGTTGTTGACGAGATCTAGATTTTGAAGGTGATGATATCGTATTTCTTCTTTCTCCGTGTCTGGGTGAGCTTCTTCTCTCTTCTTGTCTTGTTGGTCCTTCATTGCTTCTTCTGGAGGGGGATTTGTTTTTGTCTTCGTCCTTGTCATCATCCTTTCTGTCATTTCCCCCCTTTTTGGCATCATCACACGGGGTGTCAGAAAATCTGGTCAGACTTTGGACTGCAATAAGAACATCCTTGACGTACTCAAGCATAGTGAGTTGATATTCAGCCATTTGAAACATGTTGTCATGCCCGAGATCTATCTTTGTACAAGCAAGATCCACTCGTTCTTTGAGACCGAAGTGAGCATGTTTAAGAGCATGTTGTTTCTTAGCAATTTTGTCAAGGATAGCTCGTTGTTGACTGAGTTCGTGTGCAAGCCTATCTTAAGTATCTGGAATTGAGGTGCTGGGTTGTGGACGAGACATTGTTTGCATCATGCGGTTGACTTTGGCAGATAAATCTGCTATGGTCCGGCTATCTTTTTCTCTATGATGCAGATATTGCTTATGAATGAGTTCAACATTAAAGAGTGTATTCAACATTCGGTGCATGATGTGCTCAGGACTAAGGTAGTCCATTCCAGGCTCTTGGTCAGGCGCATGAGGTGATGCTTCCCGATTTTCATCACGTGGTGATGCATCCATGTTATCATCACGAGCTGTATTTGCAAGAGGAGGTAACATGGCGAGAGGTAACTCACGAGTTAGGCCTTCTTTTGGTGGGGATGAGCTAGGGGCAGGTGATTGTTCAGGTATATCTTCAGTGTTGCCTATGATAGGAGATTCACTATCATAGTCCGAATCGCCATCATCATTATCATCGTTATTTGAATCATCATCACCAATATTATTGTTATCAGCTTTTCCTTCATCATCATCATCATCATCTCCTCCATCGTCATGAGAGTCATCCTGCTCATCACCTGATTTTTCATCTTCATCCTCATCTTCATCATCTTCTTCATTTTCAGGATTTTCATCAGTGCCTTTGTATGAATCAGAGTTCGCTTTTCTGCTCTCGTTTTCAGATGTTCCTTTGTCTTCATGTTCAATCTCCTTTCCTTCGTCATCTTTTAGTCCAATGACATTGCATGCTGGATCGTTCTGATGAGTTCGTTCTAACTCTGTCTTGACTTTTGAGAGACGGAGAGCGTATCGAAATTCTTTCATTTCTTCCACGAAGGCTGGATCAAATGGCGGCTTGTTTAGCTCAATGCAAATGGGCGCTTTTTCTTTCCCGAGAGTGCGATGGGTCACTTTGTTGGAGTACACACGTTTGATGGTTTCAAGACGCAACGCTTCATAAACGTCTTTGGTGCCGATCCACTCTAGAGCAAACTCTTCTTCATCCTTCATCTCTTCAAATATTTCAAGAAAGGTTTGTAATGGAGAAGTTCACCATTTTTGCCATTGCATGACCCTGTTGAAGTCGTTCTCAATGGATTCTCGAAGCAGTTGATCTTTTGATGGGGGAATTGGGACAGCTTCGGGTACAAATACAATCGCTTGAGAGGTCTCGGGTATGACCGATTCTTGTAAGACTTCAGGTTCGGGTAGAGCTTCTTTCAGATTGGATTCAATTGGAGGAGTCACTTCTCTCGTCTCAGCTGGCTGACCAGGTTCTTGTGGGAGACTTAAGTGACTTGTAAGATGTGGTGCAAGTTCATCCTCGTCTACCCTGACAGGTTCTTGTGTCAGAATGGGAGCCATCTGCTCTGTTCGGGTAGGTTCTTGTGGGAGGGTTGTTTCAACATTCGGTTCAGTGACCACTTCTCTCGTCTCTTCTGGCAAGCCAGGTTCTTGTGGAAGACTTAAGTGGTCGTCCAGAGTTTGAGAACCTTGAGCATCCTTCTCCATCGCAACAGGTTCTTGTGTCAAACTCGTGTTGAGTTGCTCTGCCTGGATGGGTTCTTGTGGTAAGGAAAATTTCTTCAAGCTTTCGGAGCTCTTTGAACGGTTCTTTCTCTTCTTGGAGCTCTTTCTTTTCATTTCTTCCCCCTGAGAAGATGCAAGCTTCTTCTTTAGTTTAGATGGTAATATTGACTCAGGAGGGGGAGCCAGTTTCGCCATGATTTCATTTGCTTTGGCAATGGTAGGCCGAAAGTGGCTTTTTGAGGTCTTCACAGGGCTAGAGAAGGCAACGTCCTCTTCTTCTGAGGAATCAGCAATTATGACGGGTTCAGTTGATGAAATTTATGGGGTCTTTTGAGAGACTTCCTTGGTGGTTTCTTCCGGTTCTGTGGATGCAGAGATAGGTTGAATGGATGAGGCGTATTTCATCTCAAGGGTGGGTTGAGCTGTGTCAGTAACTTTTGGCAATACTTCGGGTTGTGCCGCAGATGATTCGTCTATTTCGAGTGCAGAGGAACTTTTGCTCTTTCTTGATATCTTGGCCTTGGGCACATCATCATCTGTTTCTTTAGATCGTTTGGACTTTCTCACCTTTTTCACTGAGTCCAACGGTAAGCCAAGCTCCAAGGCTTTCTGTTTGTCATATCCACTAGGCTTTGATTTCACGTGACATACTTTTAACCGTGGCGAAACTGTAACACCCCGTTGTTAGGACCCCTAACCCTAACCAAATATTTAATCACTTACCCTAAAAAGAGAATTAAAAACCCATTAATCAACTAAGAAAGGTCTACCATAGTCCATGGGCCCAGATCCCTATAACCAACCCCCTTAGTACTATAACGAATAGAATTAGCAAACCCATAGTATTTAGACCCCAATTAGGACTCCGGGGGAATATATATATATATATATATATATATATATATATATATATATATATATATATATATATATATATATATATATATATATATATATATATATATATATATATATATATATATATATATATATATATAGGCGGGTTCAGGTGCGGCAGTGTCTTACGGTGCGGTTATTTCTTACGGTGCGGCAACACCAATAGTTCACCAAATATGCACCATCAACGTTAGGAAATACACCACACAAAACAGAGTAAACAGAGCCCTGCATCACCAAACACACACCATTAGGTGTGAGTAAAAACACCATACACTGTTCGGAAATACACCATTGGGGGTGGTGAGTTATATGGTGTGTTTTTTTGAGTCTGTGGTGTATTTTGTGATTTTTTATTACATTTCATTGGGGTGTGTTTTTATTACACTGTTGGTGCATATTTTTAACACTGTTGGTGTATTCTGGAATTTGACCGAACCGCCGCACCGTAAGACCCCGCCGCATATGAGCGCTCTTCTATATATATATATATATATATATATATATATATATATATATATATATAGGGTCATAGGAGGCACCTAGATCACACATCACAAATAATCTTTCACCACACAAGAAATTCCAAGAATCCCCTTAGGAGAAATCAAGAAAGAAGAAATCTTAAAGAAAGACCCTTCATAGCCAAGGAAATTAATTAAGGCTAAGAGGTAACCCATGTCTCAACAAAATCTATTTTCTTTGCTATAATTCCCTTCCTTGGCCTCCCTCTAAATTCTTGTGTCTTGATTGAATTCTTTTATTATAATAATGTTATGTTCTTGATGATTGATGAGATGATTTATATGCTTTCTTGATAATCTTTATAATCTTGATGTTAAAAGGAACTTCTTGATTATGATATGATGATTCTTGACGGATCTTGATATTTTCTTGATGTTAAAGATAAAATATGTTCTTGATGATTTGGGTTGGATTAGAGCCCTAGATTGGATTGGGAATTTATATTGTGATGTTCTTGATTTATATTTGGGTGGGAATTCGCATGTTCGGGTGTTGTTCACATTTAGAAGTCGTAATAGGATAAGTCCTACATGATTCTTGCTTTTGATCCGTTAATTGCTTACGTGGTGTCGTTATTTGCATTTAAAAGTGTCTAAGCATGGTTTCGGGTTCCACGAAGGTTCCCGGGACGAGTATATGAGTAAGGAGTCAGTGGGGGGTAGGTGGGGGTGGGGGAACCCACCACCTATCCGCTGCCTAAAGAGCACTGCCCGGCAGCGGGCAGCCACTGGGCAGCCGGCTGCCCGCCGGCTACCCGCTGCCCGGAATAGTGCCCTCCGGCGGGTGACCCCCACCCACCGACTACCCGCTGGTCCGTACCCCACCCCAGGTCCCCGGATTCCCCGTTTGATGTTCCCCATCCCCGTGGTGTCCCAACGGACCCCGTTTGTTGTGCCTGAGTCTAGTTTGATGTTTTGGGTACCGTTCGTAGGATAAAAGAGTCTTAGGAATTGCATGCTAGTTGAATTGGTAACCCGTGGACCTAGGTGGAAGTTGTATGAGCCCTTAGGAATTATTCTTAGTATGTGAATGATCACACGTAAGTTTATTTGTATGTCTTTCCCCTCCCAATGTGCTATTACATGTTCCTACGTGTTATGTGTTGCAAGATCCCCCATTTTGGCTATAGGCCAATTGGGTGGTTCCCGGACTAAGGTCCGGAAGTCGATTGAAGACCGAATGGATTGTTCCCGGACTGAAGGTTCGGAAGTGGCTGAAGGCCAATGGATTGTTCCTGAGCTAAGGCTCAGAAGTGGCTAAGGCCAAATTGATACACTTCTTGGACTACAAGTCCAAATATAGGCCTCAGTGCTATGACCCACCGGACCTGGACGCGCCAGGACGATGTGTCGGGCCAATAAGCCGAGGTAGGCAGTAGTCCACCGACCTGAGTAATCAGGCGGTGTGTGGGGCTACGGCTGGCTGCGATCCACCGAATGATGGGACAGCGATGTGTAGGGCCATAGTCTCCGAGGATCTTCACCCACCGACTGAGTATAGCTCAGCCGTAAGCCGGGCTTGATCCGCTATGGTCCACCGACTGTGCGCATCGACGGTGTGTAGGGTCGTAAGTCCCCCCTTGTAAAGGGGATCGCGGTCCACCGACTGTGTGCGTCAGCGGTGTGTCGGATCGTGATCCGACTTTGAGTTCGTCAGCGGTTCTCAAAGGGTTGGTTACGATCAACTCCCCTCATACCGCGGTACTAAGGTAGGGTGCTGCGGGGCCGTGTTAATGCTATAAGCATTAACCCTCATGTTCGGGGCATGCGATTGGTCCCGTGGCGCCATCAATCATTATGTGATATGAATGGTGATTGGATGATGATGTGTTTTGGAATTGGAAAGTGATCTGTGACCTTAAATGCGTACTCCTTATGATGATATCTCTACTTAACTGTTTATTATTGTTTGATGTGCTTGTCCCTATTTGCTGAGTCTATTCCCGGCTTTTAAAATTAGTGTCTCTTAAGTATATATCTTCCTGCTTCAAAAGGGTTTTCGTATATCTATATATATATATATATATATATATATATATATATATATATATATATATATATATATAATGTATTTCAACGCGTTGGAGTGGGTTACCAGCATCTCTCGCTGAACAGATATATTTGGCTTTCAGGCACAGATGAGTAGACACTGGAGCGCTCTAGAGGTTGGAAGCGTAGAGTAGATAGTTCCCTTTCGGCCTGCGTGCCATGCTTATGTATTGACATTATTAAGGATTTTAGATAGTTAGCCTGTGCACCTGAGTTCTCTAGCTCAGGTGTGGCATAGCACCCCATACTCTTATATTATACTTTTAGGAATTAATGAGAATTTTTCTTTATTATATAAGTCTTAAAAGTTGAAAAATTTCGGGGTGTTACAGATGGTATCAGAGCCTAAGTTTTACCCAAGATAAGACTTTTAAGACCAGGCTCTAGGACATTAGGCCTGAACTCTAGGAATTTAGGAACATAGGACTCAGGAATCTTAGGACGCGCGGTGAGATTTAGAGACCTACACATGAACTCCCCTCACGTTACCCCGCCCTAATTTAAATAAACCCCTTTGCTTATCACACCAAGGTAAGGATGCAACCCTCTAAATCACTATAAACATTGACTCTATAGATCAAGCAACATGGCACCAAACAGAAGACAATCAAGGACTCCGGAACCCACCACACACGACCCCCTGGCTCAAACCCTATAGTAACTCACCCAGGTCGCCCAAGCACTAACCGACGTAGCCCTCCGCAACAACAGGCCACCATTCCTTCCACTGAACGCAAACTCAGAAGTCGCCCGACAAGTTTCAAACCATCGACCACCCACGTTCTCAGGAGAAGAAGATCCCACCATCCTCGAAGAATGGATACGGACCTTCGACAAGATTCTGGGGTTGGTAGAATGCCCAGAAGAGCGTCGTGTCGAGATAGCCTCGTTCAACTTCGGACACGAGGCAGACCTTTGGTGGATCCACGAAGGACCCACTTACAGGCAAGACCCAGGATTGAACTGGGAAAACCTAAAAACACGCCTGCGAGAACGATTCTACCCGACCCACGTAAAAGCCTATATGCACTAAGAGTTCCTCCACCTAAAACAAGGAACGGCTACCATCACGGAATACCATAAACGATTCCTCGAACTGGCACGCTTCATGCCAGAGTTAGTCCCCACAGAATCAACAAAAATAGAAAGGTTTGTATCAGGCCTCAACTTCGAAGTTCGGAAAGCACTAGTAGTAAGCGGGCCCCGGACCCTCAACGAGGCTTACTCCAGTGCTGCCAACCTCTACCGAATCCAACTACTACAACGTGGGGTTCAAGATCAGATTCGAAAAAGGAACACAGGAGGAGGTGCACCACCAATAAAGAGAACGAGAATCGACACCGGCACGAAGCCAAACAACCCAACTGGACAAAAACCACCCCCAAGAAGCAACGAGGCCAATACAGGGGGCTTCCCTTGCCCAAAATGCAACCAAAGCCATAGAGGCAGGGACTGCATGGGGAACTCCTTACGGTGCTTCAACTGTGGAAAAGAAGGACACAAGGCCTTCCACTGCTTACAACCCTCAAGCTCACGCCCCATGAACATGGGACAACACGGAGGCGCAAGAAACCAAGGGAATCACGGTGCCCCCGGGAAAGTATTCATCATGAGCCGCACACAAGCCGAACTTGGGAACGAGGGCAGCCTCAATGAAGAAAACATGACCCCGGAAGACGAGGATCACGTGAATCCACCAGAAGAAAACCAAGAAGATGAATTCTG